GACATAAGGTTCAGGAGCTGTGTGGTACACCTCTGAGCTGTGTGGTACACCTCTGAGCTGTGTGGTACACCTCTGAGCTGTGTGGTACACCTCTGAGCTGTGTGGTACACCCCTGAGCTATGTGGTACACCCTTGAGCTGTGTGGTACACCCCTGAGCTATGTGGTACACCCTTGAGCTGTGTGGTACACCCCTGAGCTGTGTGGTACACCCCTGAGCTGTGTGGTACACCCCTGGAGCTGTGTGGTACACCTCTGAGCTGTGTGGTACACCCCTGAGCTATGTGGTACACCCTTGAGCTGTGTGGTACACCCCTGAGCTATGTGGTACACCCTTGAGCTGTGTGGTACACCCCTGAGCTGTGTGGTACACCCCTGAGCTGTGTGGTACACCCCTGGAGCTGTGTGGTACACCTCTGAGCTGTGTGGTACACCCCTGAGCTATGTGGTACACCCTTGAGCTGTGTGGTACACCCCTGAGCTGTGTGGTACACCCCTGAGCTGTGTGGTACACCCCTGGAGCTGTGTGGTACACCCCTGAAGCTGTGTGGTACACCTCTGAGCTATGTGGTACACTCCTGAGCTGTGTGGTACACCCCCTGAGCTGTGTGGTACACCCCCTGAGCTGTGTGGTACATCCCTGAGCTGTGTGGTACACCTCTGAGCTATGTGGTACACCCCTGGAGCTGTGTGGTACACCCCTGGAGCTGTGTGGTCCTCCCTCTGAGCTGAGTGGTACACCCCTGGAGCTGTGTGGTACACCCCCTGAGCTGTGTGGTACACCTCTGAGCTATGTGGTACACCCCTGGAGGTGTGTGGTACACCCCCTGAGCTGTGTGGTACACCTCTGAGCTATGTGGTACACCCCTGGAGGTGTGTGGTACACCCCCTGAGCTGTGTGGTACACCTCTGAGCTATGTGGTACACCCCTGGAGCTGTGTGGTACACCCCCTGAGCTGTGTGGTACACCCCTGAGCTGTGTGGAACACCCCTGAGCTGTGTGGTACACCTCTGAGCTATGTGGTACACCCCTGAGCTGTGTGGTACACCCCTGGAGCTGTGTGGTACACCCCTGAGCTGTGTGGTACACCTTCTGAGCTGTGTGGTACACCTCTGAGCTGTGTGGTACACCTCTGAGCTGTGTGGTACACCTCTGAGCTGTGTGGTACACCCCTGAGCTATGTGGTACACCCTTGAGCTGTGTGGTACACCCCTGAGCTATGTGGTACACCCTTGAGCTGTGTGGTACACCCCTGAGCTGTGTGGTACACCCCTGAGCTGTGTGGTACACCCCTGGAGCTGTGTGGTACACCTCTGAGCTGTGTGGTACACCCCTGAGCTATGTGGTACACCCTTGAGCTGTGTGGTACACCCCTGAGCTATGTGGTACACCCTTGAGCTGTGTGGTACACCCCTGAGCTGTGTGGTACACCCCTGAGCAGTGTGGTACACCCCTGGAGCTGTGTGGTACACCTCTGAGCTGTGTGGTACACCCCTGAGCTATGTGGTACACCCTTGAGCTGTGTGGTACACCCCTGAGCTGTGTGGTACACCCCTGAGCTGTGTGGTACACCCCTGGAGCTGTGTGGTACACCCCTGAAGCTGTGTGGTACACCTCTGAGCTATGTGGTACACTCCTGAGCTGTGTGGTACACCCCCTGAGCTGTGTGGTACACCCCCTGAGCTGTGTGGTACATCCCTGAGCTGTGTGGTACACCTCTGAGCTATGTGGTACACCCCTGGAGCTGTGTGGTACACCCCTGGAGCTGTGTGGTCCTCCCTCTGAGCTGAGTGGTACACCCCTGGAGCTGTGTGGTACACCCCCTGAGCTGTGTGGTACACCTCTGAGCTATGTGGTACACCCCTGGAGGTGTGTGGTACACCCCCTGAGCTGTGTGGTACACCTCTGAGCTATGTGGTACACCCCTGGAGGTGTGTGGTACACCCCCTGAGCTGTGTGGTACACCTCTGAGCTATGTGGTACACCCCTGGAGCTGTGTGGTACACCCCCTGAGCTGTGTGGTACACCCCTGAGCTGTGTGGAACACCCCTGAGCTGTGTGGTACACCTCTGAGCTATGTGGTACACCCCTGAGCTGTGTGGTACACCCCTGGAGCTGTGTGGTACACCCCTGAGCTGTGTGGTACACCTTCTGAGCTGTGTGGTACACCCCTGAGCTGTGTGGTACACCCCTGAGTTGTGTGGTACACCACTGAGCTGTGTGGTACACCTCTGAGCTGTGTGGTACACCACTGGAGCTGTGTGGTACACCCCTGGAGCTGTGTGGTACACCATTGGAGCTGTGTGGTACACCCCCTGAGCTGTGTGGTACACCCCTGAGCTGTGTGGAACACCCCTGAGCTGTGTGGTACACCTCTGAGCTATGTGGTACACCCTGAGCTGTGTGGTACACCCCTGGAGCTGTGTGGTACACCCCTGAGCTGTGTGGTACACCTTCTGAGCTGTGTGGTACACCCCTGAGCTGTGTGGTACACCCCTGAGTTGTGTGGTACACCACTGAGCTGTGTGGTACACCTCTGAGCTGTGTGGTACACCACTGGAGCTGTGTGGTACACCCGTGGAGCTGTGTGGTACACCATTGGAGCTGTATGGTACACCCTGGAGCTGTGTGGTATACCGTGGAGCTGTGTGGTACACCCTGGAGCTGTGTGGTACACCCCTGGAGCTGTGTGGTACACCACTGGAGCTGTGTGGTACACCCTGGAGCTGTGTGGTACACCCCTGGAGCTGTGTGGTACACCACTGGAGCTGTGTGGTACACCACTGGAGCTGTGTGGTACACCCCGGAGCTGTGTGGTACACCCCTGGAGCTGTGTGGTACACCACTGGAGCTGTGTGGTACACCCTGGAGCTGTGTGGTACACCCCTGGAGCTGTGTGGTACACCACTGGAGCTGTGTGGTACACCACTGGAGCTGTGTGGTACACCACTGGAGCTGTGTGGTACACCACTGGAGCTGTGTGGTACACCACTGGAGCTGTGTGGTGTAATTGCAAGTCTTCAAAATATTTGCTCCGCATTTGCGAAATAAAATATAAAAATCCACCAGTATTGGAGCCTTACTCACAACCAAGGGTTCGTACATAAAGGATTACAACGAAATTAGTGAAATCCTCGCAGGCCCGTATGAGGCTATGTTTAGCAACCCCAATAAACAACATGAAAGTTGAAAATTAAGACTACTCTATTATGAAGGACATCTAAGCTGCAGATAATATATCTGATATTAACACGAACATAGAAGACCTGGAAAGATAAATGGACTACATGCCAAGCACTCTTGAGTATTGCTGGGTACTCACTTCCCCTTTCAGAGCAGGAGATATACCTGAGTTAGAGGGAATACAGAGAACATATACGGCACGCATAGACACGATAAAATATCTAAATTATTGGGACAGTCTCAAAACTCTGAAAATGTACTCTTTGGAAAGGAGACGAGAAAGGTATCAAATACCTTTACATAAATAAATACATGGAAGATACGGGAAGGCCAGGTCCCAAATTTGCCCAGTAGAATATCAACATACTGGATCGAAAGATATGGAAGTAAATGTAGAATTGAACCAGTGAAGAGTTGAGATGCCATAGGCACAATCAGAGAGCACTGTCTGAACATCAGAGGTCCACAGCTGTTCAACACCCTGTCAGCAAGCATTAGAAATATTGCTGGAACAAAAGTGAATGTATTCATGATACACTGAGAAAAGTTCTTGCAAGAAGTAGCGGACCAGCCAGGCTGTAGTGGATGTTTGTGCCTGCGGGCCGCTCCAAGCAACAGCCTGTTGGACCAAGTTATCACATATCGAGCCTGGCCCAGGTCGGGCTTGGGGAGTAGAAAAACTCCCGAAACCCTCTTGAGGTATGTTCCAGGTATGAGGTACACCCAAAGTCAGCAGGTGTTGCCGGCCATCCACGGGGCGGCAGTGAGCGAGTGTGTGTGTGTGGGGGGGGGGGGGGGCGACATTCCCGCTCCTCTCTACTTATCAGACCAGATCTGAGGCACGGCAGGCTATTTATTGCTCTGTGTACCTTAATCTTCTCCTTTATACAGTCCTTACTCCCGAGATCTCTCCAGTCACCACCGTGGTGTAGCACCAGTCACCACCACTGGTGTAGCACCAGTCACCACCACCACTGGTGTAGCACCAGTCACCACCGTGGTGTAGCACCAGTCACCACCACTGGTGTAGCACCAGTCACCACCACCACTGGTGTAGCACCAGTCACCACCACTGGTGTAGCAAGTCACCACCACTGGTGTAGCACCAGTCACCACCGTGGTGTAGCACCAGTCACCACCACCACTGGTGTAGCACCAGTCACCACCACCACTGGTGTAGCACCAGTCACCACCACTGGTGTAGCAAGTCACCACCACTGGTGTAGCACCAGTCACCACCACTGGTGTAGCACCAGTCACCACCACCACTGGTGTAGCACCAGTCACCACCACCACTGGTGTAGCACCAGTCACCACCACCACTGGTGTAGCACCAGTCACCACCACTGGTGTAGCACCAGTCACCACCACTGGTGTAGCACCAGTCACCACCACTGGTGTAGCAAGTCACCACCACTGGTGTAGCACCAGTCACCACCACTGGTGTAGCAAGTCACCACCACTGGTGTAGCACCAGTCACCACCACTGGTCGCATGTTAAGGGAACACACGGCTGAGTGGGCTAGAGGGAATCTACCTCATAATTATCCAGTAATTATTGAACTGCCGGAAAACTGTAATTCGTTTCAAGTAATTAAATAATCGGAATTCTTTGTTATAAAATATTTGAGGTAAAACTAAGAATTTTTTGTATTACTTATTCCCCAAAATTGTTACTATAAACAAGTGAAATCTTTAACGTTGGGCTATTTTAAATTTTTGTAAAAAGCATTTTGAAGGAACAATATTTACATTGGATGGCTTTACAAAGTGTAAATAATGAGTAATAATGTATTATGGTTGGTGTAATGTGGCAGGCTAAGTGTGCCTTACACTCAGGCACTGATGAGTGTAGGTGTCTGGGGTGTAGGTGTCCTGGGTGTAGGTGTCTTGGGTGTAGGTGTCTGGTGTGTAGGTATCTGGGGTGTAGGTGCCTGGGGTGTAGGTGTCTGGGGTGTAGGTGTCCTGGGTGTAGGTGTCTTGGGTGTAGGTGTCTGGTGTGTAGGTATCTGGGGTGTAGGTGCCTGGGGTGTAGGTGTCTGGGGTGTAGGTGTCTGGGGTGTAGGTGTCTGGGGTGTAGGTGTCTGGGGTGTAGGTGTCTGGGGTGTAGGTGTCTGGTGTGTAGGTATCTGGGGTGTAGGTGTCTGGGGTGTAGGTGTCTGGGGTGTAGGTGTCTGGTGTGTAGGTATCTGTGGTGTAGGTGCCTGGGGTGTAGGTGTCTGGGGAGAAGGTGTCTGGGGTGTAGGTGTCTGGGGTGCAGGTGTCTGAGGTGTAGGTGTCTGGGGTGTAGGTGTCTGGGGAGAAGGTGTCTGGGGTGTAGGTGTCTGGGGAGTAGGTGTCTGGGGATTAGGTGTCTGGGGTGTAAGTGTCTGGGGTGTAGGTGTCTGGGTGTATGTGTCTGGGGTGTAGGTGTCTGGGGAGTAGGTGTCTGGGGTGTAGGTGTCAGAGGGTGAAGGTGTCTGGGGTGTAGGTGTCTGGGGTGAAGGTGTCTGGGGTGTAGGTGTCTGGGGTGAAGGTGTCTGGGGTGTAGGTGTCTGGGGTGAAGGTGTCTGGGGTGTAGGTGTCTGGGGTGTAGGTGTCTGGGGTGTAGGTGTTTGGGGTGAACTTGTCTGGGGTGTAGGTGTCTGGGTGTAGGTGTCTGGGATGTAGGTGTCTCGGGTGTAGGTGTCTGGGGTGTAGGTGTCTGGGGTGAAGGTGTCTGGGGTGTAGGTGTCTGGGGTGTAGGTGTCTGAGGTGTAGGTGTCTGGGGAGTAGGTGTCTGGGGTGTAGGTGTCTGGGGAGTAGGTGTCTGGGGTGTAGGTGTCTGGGGAGTAGGTGTCTGGGGAGTAGGTGTCTGGGGTGAAGGTGTCTGGGGTGTAGGTGTCTAGGGTGTAGGTGTTTGGGGTGTAGGTGTCTGGGGTGAAGGTGTCTGTGATGTAGGTGTCTGGGGTGAAGGTGTCTGGGGTGTAGGTGTCTGGGGTGTAGGTGTCTGGGGTGAAGGTGTCTGTGATGTAGGTGTCTGGGGTGAAGGTGTCTGGGGTGTAGGTGTCTGGGGTGAAGGTGTCTGGGGTGTAGGTGTCTGGGGTGTAGGTGTCTGGGGTGAAGGTGTCTGTGATGTAGGTGTCTGGGGTGAAGGTGTCTGGGGTGTAGGTGTCTGGGGTGTAGGTGTCTGGGATGTAGGTGTCTGGGGTGTAGGTGTCTGGGGTGTAGGTGTCTGGGGTGAAGGTGTCTGGGGTGAAGGTGTCTGGGGTGTAGGTGTCTGGGGTGTAGGTGTCTGGGGTGTAGGTGTCTGGGGTTTAGGTGTCTGGGGTGTAGGTGTCTGGGGTGTAGGTATCTGAGGTGTAGGTGCCTGGGGTGTAGGTGCCTGGGGTGTAGGTGTCTGGGGTGTAGGTGTCTGGGGTGTAGGTGTCTTGAGGTGTAGGTGTCTGGGGTGTAGGTGTCTGAGGTGCAGGTGTCTGGGGTGTAGGTGTCTGGGGTGTAGGTGTCTGGGGTGTAGGTCTCCCCGGGCGTCGCCCCACCACATACGTTGATGCAACTTTCTCTCATGTTATGTTGACGCCCAAAAGTTAGTTCAGGATCGTCAGGGAGTTATTGGGATACACGCCATGACCAGCGTGACGGGAGCGTGACCAGCGTGACGGGAGCGTGACCAGCGTGACGGGAGCGTGACCAGCGTGACGGGAGCGTGACCAGCGTGACCAGCGTGACGGGAGCGTGACAGAAGCGTGACGGGAGCGTGACCAGCGTGACGGGAGCGTTACCAGCGTGACGGGAGCGTTACCAGCGTGACGGGAGCGTTACCAGCGTGACGGGAGCGTGACCAGCGTGACGGGAGCGTGACCAGCGTGACGGGAGCGTGACCAGCGTGACGGGAGCGTGACCAGCGTGACGGGAGCGTGGGCCTGCGTGACGGGAGCGTGACCAGCGTGACGGGAGCGTGGGCCAGCGTGACGGGAGCGTGGGCCAGCGTGACGGGAGCGTGACCAGCGTGACGGGAGCGTTACCAGCGTGACGGGACCGTTACCAGCGTGACGGGACCGTTACCAGCGTGACGGGAGCGTTACCAGCGTGACGGGAGCGTGACCAGCGTGACGGGAGCGTTACCAGCGTGACTTGAGCGTGACCAGCGTGACGGGAGCGTGACCAGCGTGACGGGAGCGTGACCAGCGTGACCAGCGTGACGGGAGCGTGACCAGCGTGACGGGAGCGTGGGCCTGCGTGACGGGAGCGTGACCAGCGTGACGGGAGCGTGGGCCAGCGTGACGGGAGCGTGACCAGCGTGACGGGACCGTTACCAGCGTGACGGGAGCGTGACCAGTGTGACGGGAGCGTTACCAGCGTGACGGGAGCGTGACGGGAGCGTTACCAGCGTGACGGAAGCGTTACCAGCGTGACGGGAGCGTGACCAGCGTGACGGGAGCGTGACTTAGAGGCCAGCGACCTTGTGGATAATGTTCAGTGACAGGAATTGGGAGGGAGAGGGAGGGGAAAGGAGACTAGGGGAGGAAGGGGCTGGAATGGATGGGACAGACAGAAGCTATTGTCCTCACCTAGTTGCTCACCTAGTTGTGCTTGCCGGGGTCGAACTTCGGCTCTTTGGTCTCGCCTCTCAGCTGTCAATCAACTGGTGTACAGATTCCTGAGCCTACTGGGCTCTATCATATCTACATTTGAAATTGTGTATGGAGTCAGCCTCCACCACATCACTGCCTAATGCATTCCATCCGTTAACTACTCTGACACTGAAAAAGTATCTTTCTGACGTCCCTGTATCTTATTTTGGTACTCACTTTCCACCTGTGTCCCCTTGCTCGCGTTCCACCCGTGTTAAATAGTTTATCTTTATTTACCCTTTCAATTCCTCTGAGAATTTTGTAGGTATTGATCATGTCTCTCCTTACTCTTCTGCCTTCCAGTGTCGTGAGATGCATTTTACACAGCCTTTCCTCATAACTCATGTCTCTTAGTCCTGGGACTAGTCTAGTGGCATACCTCTGAACTTTTTCAAGCTTCGTCTTGTGCTTGACAAAGTACGGGCTCCATGCTGGGACCGCATACACTAGGATTGGTGTTACATATGTGGTATACAAGGTTCTGAATGATTCCTTACACAGGTTCCTGAAGGCAGTTCTGATGTTAGCCAACCATGCATTCACCGCAAATGTTATTCTTTTTATTTGGGATTCAGGAGGCAGGTTTGGTGTGATATCAACTAGATCTTTCTCTCCGTTTCATGAAGGACTTCATCTCTCATTCGGTATCCTGTGTCTGGCCTTCTCTTGGCTCCGCCTAGTTTCATTACCTTACATTTTTCGGGTTGAACTTTAGTAGCTATTTGTTAGACCCTTCCTTCAGTTTGTCTAGGTCATCTTGTAGCCTCATACTATCTTCCTCCGTCTTAATCCCCCTCATAATTTTTACATCATCAGCAAACAATGAGAGGAACGATTCTATACCCTCTGGGAGATCATTTACATATATCAGAAACAGTATTGGTCGAAGGACGGAACCTTGCGGGACTCCACTGGTGACGCATCGCCAATCTGGGACCTCATCCCTCACAGTGACTCGTTGTCTCCTGTTATTTATGTACTCCCTTATCCAATGGAGTACCTTCCCTTTCACTCCAGCCTGTATCTCCAGCTTTTGCACTAGTCTCTTGTGAGGCACTGTGTCAAATGATGATGTATTCCATCATGTCTTAGGCCGTTTTTCCCATGAACTCTGTTTCCCATCTTATATCTTTTAGGAATTTTCTTATCTCCTCATAGTTTCCCTTATGGAATGCCAGCCTTATGTTTTCATGTCCCTTCCTTGAATACATTAACTGTTCTTCTACCAGATACTCAAACGTCAGTACACTGTGATCGCACATTACTACTAAGGCCTCGATGCCGATTTCCCATTGCCGGAGTTGTTCAGAGTGAAGACTAGGTCGAGTCTCGCTGGATCATCGTTTCCCCTCATTCTTGTGGGTTCCCTGACATGCTGGCTTAAAAAGTTTTGTGTTGCCACCTCCAGTAGTTTAGCTCTCCATGTTTCCTCTCCTCCATGTGGTTCATTATTCTCCCAGTCAATCCTTCCGTGATTGAAGTCCCTCATGATGAGTAGATGGGATCGAATTCTACAGGCAGCAGAGGCTGCCCTCTCAATTATGTTATTAACTGCCATGTTGTTTCTGTCATACTCTTGCCTGGGTCTTCTGTCATTTGGTGGAGGGTTATATATCACCGCTACTACTACTCTTGGTCCTCCCATCGTCATGGTGCCTGTTATGTAGTCTTTGAACCCCTCGTAGCCTGGGATAACCATCTCCTTGAAATTCCATTCCTTTCTCATGAGTAGGGCCACTCTGCCTTCTCCCCCTACCCTCCCTCTCTTTCCTTATTACAGTGTAGTCCTGGTGTGGGCAGGTACCAGAGTGCATTAAACTCAAGCCGGGCACCAGAGTTTAACAGTGATAAATTCCAAGTGCACTACTCAGGAGTCAGGTCACCAGGTTCTTGGAGACCAGTGACCTTCACAACCCAGGCCAACATGGATTTAGAGCGGGAAGATCATGCCTCTCGCAGCTACTTGACCACTATGACAAAATCACTGAGGCATTAAAAGAAAAACTGAATGCAGATGTGGTATACACATCCCGGCCGAGCCGGTCGGCCGAGCGGACAGCACGCTGGACTTGTGATCCTGTGGTCCCGGGGTCGATCCCGGGCGCCGGCGAGAAACAATGGGCAGAATTTCTTTCACCCTATGCCCCTGTTACCTAGCAGTAAAAACAGGTACCTGGGTGTTAGTCAGCTGTCACGGGCTGCTTCCTGGGGGTGGAGGCCTTGTCGAGGACCGAGCCGCGGGGACACTAAAGCCCCGAAATCATCTCAAGAAGAAGATACACGGACTTCGCAAAGGCTTTCGATAAATGTGACCATGGAGTGATAGCACACAAAAATATTGGGACCGTCTCAAAGCTCTCCAAATGTGCTCGCTGGAAAGGAGACAAGAGGGCCAGGTACTAAATCTACACAGTAAAATAACAACATACTGGAGTGAACGATATGGAAGAAAATGCAAAATAGAACAAATGAAGAACAGGGATGCCATAGGTACAATCAGAGAACACTGTATAAACATCAGAGGTCCGCGGTTGTTCAACATCCTCCCAGTAAGCATTAAAAATATTGCCGGAACAACTGTCGGTATCTTCAAGAGATATCTAGATAGTTTTCTTCAAGAAGTGACGGAGCAACCGCGCTGTGGTGGGTATGTGGGTCTGGGGGCCGCTCCAAGCAACAGCCTGTTGGATCAAACTCTCACAAGTCAAGCCTGGCCTCGGGCCGGGTTTGGGGAGTAGAAGAACTCTCAGAAGCCCATCAAACAGATATCAAGCCGAGTGTGGGCGGGTAACTCGTAAAACTTGGATTGATGTATGGTGCTGGACGGTGCTTCCCAACTGCAAGTAAGTCGGGTAGCAGTGATGGTTGAGAAGTGGAGCGGGAACCAGTGTAGTTCACTGGCCAGGTCCCAGCCAATAATATCCTCCAACTTAATGTTCTGTGAGACATTCATCTCTTCCTCATGAAATGTTCCCGTTCAAGTTCTCTTCCTGTAAAACAGAAGTGGATCAACTTTTCAACCACTTCTTTCTTGATTTGTTTTCCGTCCAGGGCTGAGGTGCAGCTCCCCGTTCATGCACCCGTGTCTAGCTGCCTTGCCTCCATTTGCTCCATTATACATTTTACCAGCTCCCTTACTCTGTCAATTTCTTACCCAAGTGCCAGGCAGGTTTCGTGCTGGGTTTGAGATGAGGCACTAACTAGAGTAACCCTTATATGCTGTGTTTACTATACTGACCTGTAATGTAAAATGTGATTCTTATACTGTGATTTGTGGATTTGTTCTCACTAGATTCGTGCGTCCCTTGAGGGCTTGAAGTAGATGAGGGTAGAAATAGCTCAAATTACTCTATTCTTTGAGATGTATTTTATTGTCTCAATAAACTTACTTGAACTTGACCTTGAACTAGCTGAAGACACCGAGACACGAATGACTTTACAAGAGCACACCTTAGTTTTTTACAAATTTTTCATTTTATTGAAAATGAAATTATTTTTACATACATTTTTTACATTTTTCTCAAAATGTTAACTTTTGCCTTTGTCTCTCTTACAGGTAGAGCACGCGACTCATTCTTGATAACGGCAGGATGTCCACGAGTAGACTGTGAGGTGAGACCCTAACTTCCAAGGAGGTTTCATCCACGTATAATGCGCATACTCATACAGGGTGGTGGTATACTCATACAGGGGGGGGTATACTCATACAGGGGTGGTATACTCATACAGGGGGAGGTATACTCATACAGGGGGAGGCATACTCATACAGGGGGAGGTATACTCATACAGGGGAGGTATACTCATACAAGGGGAGGCATACTCATACAGGGGGAAGTATACTCATACAGGGGGAGGTATACTCATACAGGGGGAGGCATACTCATACAGGGGGAGGTATACTCATACAGGGGAGGTATACTCATACAGGGGGAGGCATACTCATACAGGGGGAGGTATACTCATACAGGGGAGGTATACTCATACAGGGGAGGCATACTCATACAGGGGGAAGTATACTCATACAGGGGGAGGTATACTCATACAGGGTGGTGGTATACTCATACAGGGGGAGGCATACTCATACAGGGGGAGGTATACTCATACAGGGGGAGGCATACTCATACAGGGGGAGGTATACTCATACAGGGGAGGTATACTCATACAAGGGGAGGCATACTCATACAGGGGGAGGCATACTCATACAGGGGGAGGTATACTCATACAGGGGGAGGTATACTCATACAGGGGGAGGCATACTCATACAGGGGAAGGTATACTCATACAGGGGGTGGTATACTCATACAGGGAGAGGTATACTCATACAGGGAGATATATTCATACAGGGGGTGGTATACTCATACAGGGGGTGGTATACTCTTACAGGGAGAGGTATACTCATACAGGGAGATATACTCATACAGGGGGTGGTATACTCATACAGGGGGTGGTATACTCATACAGGGAGAGGTATACTCATACAGGGAGAGGTATACTCATACAGGGAGAGGTATACTCATACAGGGAGAGGTATACTCATACAGGGAGAGGTATACTCATACAGGGAGAGGTATACTCATACAGGGAGAGGTATACTCATACAGGGAGAGGTATACTCTTACAGGGGGGGTATGTGGACACCTTCACTTTGATGCCGGTGTCCCAAGGGATGTTTCTCAATAGCATGATGATTGTAGTGGATGTTTAAGGCTGCAACTCTGACTTTACGTCAGGTGTTTGTGATGTTGAGTGCTCTTGTGTATGTAGAATTATTAATACCTCTAGTTCTCTTGTGTTTGGTTTACGGCTGAATTTTCTTTGTTGCTCATATTCTGTGTTCCATCATAAAATATATTGGATATTTATGTCTCAGCAAGGAATTAGGAACATATATTGACATTAGTCTTGAAGGACCTGCCGAATACAAATATTTTGTCATCTCTTGATATATTAAATTAAATTGTGTTTTGGGGTTAATGTTAATAGGTCTGTTCCTAACTTGCGTTCCTAAGTGTGTTCTGGCTACTAGGTACGACATATATATATATATATATATATATATATATATATATGTCGGTACGACATATATATATATATATATATATATATATATATATATATATATATATATATATATATATATATATATATATATATATATATATATATATATATATATATATATATATATATATATATATATACAGGTGACAACTTGGTGGTGTGACGACCGCTCATCGGAACAGTGGGGTCGTTTCACAGTGCTGGCGGTAGTGCTGGTGATTGGTGAGCGGCAGGTGATTCATCCAATCAACTGCGACTGTAGGTGATTGCATTAATAAATTAGCAAGCGAACCACTAATCAATGATCCTATTGACAAGCTCATTTTCTGAAGATAGAATCGAAAGCCGAATTAGAATTAATTACAGCACGTGGATTAAAAGTTCTACGTTCAGTGATCTTCAAAACTCTATTATTATATCATAGTAGACAGCTTGTTGACATTCACATCTGATAGATTCTTACTCCACCTCAACATCTCTAATTTTGTGTAGTCAGTCTCCAGTGTATAATATGTGCATTCTTAATGGTATTTGACAGCTTAGATAAATATTTGCCTAAACCCCCAGCAAGTCTATGATGGGCATTACCGACACTAGATGGTATTGGGTACCGGGGTATGTTGGGGTTTGTGGGTATGAGGTTGACTGCACATGAAGGAGGGTCTGGGGCTGTTGGAGCTATATACTGGGGACAGACCGCTTCAATATCTTTCTTGATTTCTGTTAAAAAATATTATATCTCATTCTCTTCTTATTGTTGTAGTGTAGATCATTACAAGGGCAGGTGCACCAGACATACTTGATCCAGGGAAGCGAACTTGGTGCAGCTGCTCCCATGTATCACATGGTCCGGGAAGCGAACTTGGTGCAGCTGCTCCCACGGACTTTCAGGGTTCCGTGATGGTGGACGGAACTTGATCATTACGTTCATCTTTCGACAAAGTTTTAAGAGCTTTCTTGAGAGTAAATATGGCTCGAGAGTTGTCTAGGATGATAAAGTTTGGAGTCACCCTTGAGAATGGGACACAAGTTGCGTCTTCTGGCGGCTGCTTGAGGGGATCGAACTGGCTGGTGGTCTCTGGATTAAGTTAGCCAAGATTTTCAAACACAAATTCTAATTGATAAATTATTGTACATATATAATTGACTTCGTTTACATAAAAAGTTGACATTAATCATTTTCCATTCGATCATTTTAAGTCATCTGCTTCTTCTATAGCGAGAAAGTGTTGATGCTGATACTGAAGCGTCTTACATCATAAAGATGCAACATGTTGCTGGGAAGATAGAGAGAAACCTTTCATATGGGGCAAAGAATGAGAATTAATAAGATACTTACGGTTTTAAATGTGAAACTTATAGACTAATATAACATCTACTTATAGACATCGGCATAGTCTCTTTACTTCATCAGTCACGGGTTACCTGGATATTACCTGGAGTCTCGGGAGTCTTTCTGCTCCCCGCCTGAACCACACACTCTGAACACACAGCTCAGGTGCTAGCTACCAGAATTCAACATTATTTTAAATAAGTACTCTGTGTGCTTACTGGAGAAGAACTCTGAAGACCTGGTTTACATCAGCTGTGTCCTCTATATTGTCTATCATCTATAATGGAAATCCTACTGTTGAATGCCAAGCATTCTAGGATAATATAGTTTGTGTCCTTTTCTAGCTATATATCTATTAGAGAGGGGAAGAAGGGGAAGCGGGGCCTCCGAGGGGTTTGAGGTGAGATGTTGGGAGAGAAAGGTAAAGAGCGGAAGAAATGGGAGAAAGGTAAAGAGAGATGACAGACAGAAAGGGAAAGGGAAATGGGGAAAAACAGATCCGGGTGCAGTCGGATCCAAAATCATGTTGATTTAAGGATTCTCTCTTAGTATAGCACAAAAGGATTTTTTTGTATGAAGACATTTAGGTACATCAAGATTTGTACAGCTGCCCTCGACTATATGAAGGAGAGTACAGTGTGTGTCAAGAGCTAGCTACGTGATGCTAAACATCCCCATCACACAGGATGGTTAGTCATACAGGACCATGTGATGAGTACTCTGCACTGGAAAATCCTGCATGTATTATGAAAACATAGTGATAGGATACAAGTTATTTTTTTTTACTAAGACATAATGAGAGTCTGCGGTAATCTCAGGCCCTCATTCATCATCCTCGCAAGTATGTCGCAAGAGTCAGCCCAGCCTCCCAAACTACTTATAGTGACTATTTGGTGGAAAGTACGTATATGTAGTGATGGATCACCAGAAAATTGACAAATGTATTACTGTATTTAATGGATTTTTTTTAACGACAAGATAAATATAAGACATAATCTAACCTCTCCAAGTCATTCGAGGCCTAATACACGCCATCTTGGGTCTAATATAGTATGTGCTAATCTAGGTCTAGTAATGTTTAAATTCGGTGTTTAGCTTTAGTTTCGCCCGCACTAGAAAATTTAAAGTAAAAAAAACTGAATTACAGGTGTTCCATAACTACATATTGGTATTTTTGACGAAAAATGTTGTATAAATACAGTCATTTCGGGAAGATGGAAGATGGAGTGGTGAAGTCCGTGGGACGGGAAAGGTTGAGGAGGACTTAGGCTCCAAGGACCAGCAAGGCAAGACTTCCCATCCACAAGATACTTCTCTTGGGTAGTCCCAGGCTGGGTCTGGTCTTGGTTCTCCCCAGCTGGTTGAGTCGCTGCCATTTGTTAGTGAAATGTAATTCCATCTAAGGAAGACCACTGTCTCCGGGAGACCGGATTGAAGGAGCGGAATGTTTCCTCGAGGCTCGGAGATTAACTGTGGTCGATAGTCGAGGGGGGAGGGCAGGATATTGGGCGCAATTGGTCCATTTTTCCAAGTCGATTTAGCCATGATTGAATTCACCCATTACCAGGAGCTTTGCTTTCATGCTATGGGCTGTGTCTGCCATTCTTTGCAGGATATTCGAGCATGCTGTGTTGTCATTCATATTCTTGTCTCGGTATTCTGTGATTCTTTGGATGGTTGAAGATTACAGCTACAACCACTTTCTCTCCCTCAGATGAAATGATTCCGAGGATGCAGTCCCTGTAGTTGTTTGTCACCTCCAATGAAATTACCTTAAAGATGAAATGTCTTTTTACCAGCAGTGCCACACCTCCTCCTCCTCCTCTCTGAAGTCTTTCACTTCTCATTGTCTGGTATTTCCTTGAATATTGCATTGCTAATCATGCCAGTTAGTTTGGTCTCTACTAATGCTATTATATCAGGTTTTCCTTGCTTTGATTCATGTGCTTTATTTGACAATCCATCGTCATTGGTGTACCAGGTCTTCAGAGGTGTCATTATTGTCCTGTTCTATGAACGGTTAGTTTCCAGCCTAGGTACAGGGTTTAGGTTAGGTTCAGAATAAATTTAGGATATGGAAGAAAGTTGTGGATTGTCTGTGAGGCACTGGGATGGAGTCAGGGAAGTGGCGGAGTGGGATTTGTGGGGCTCAGGGCTGGGAGAGGAAGGGGTGGTAGAAACTAGTGATTAAGGATCCAATTGGAAGGTGTCAGACCTGGGAGCCAAATCCTTCTGCCTGGGGTTCCAACTGGTCATTCCTCCTTACACGGTGCTTCTTCTGTGTGGGTGTTGCTTGTGTGTCCTGCACACTCCTGCGAGGTGTCACTGTCCCCCTACCTCACTCCCTCATCTGTTGTACTCATCTAGTTGTGCTTGCGGGGGTTGAGCTCTGGCTCTTTGATCCTGCCTCTCAACTGTCAATCAACTGATGTACAGGTTCCTGAGCCTATTGAGCTCTATCATATCTACTCTTAAAACTGTATATGGAGTTTGCCTCCACCATATCACTTCCTAGGGCATTCCATTTGTCAACTACTCTGACACTAAAAAAGTTCTTTCTAATATCTCTGTGGCTCATTTGGGCACTCAGTTTCCACCTGTGTCCCCTAGTGCGTGTGCCCCTTCTGTTAAACAGCCTGTCTTTATCAACCCTGTCGATTCCCTTGAGAATCTTGAATGTGGTGATCATGTCCCCCCCCTAACTCTTCTGTCTTCCAACGAAGTGAGGTTCAATTCCCGTAGTCTCTCCTCGTAGCTCATACCTCTCAGCTCGGGTACTAGTTTGGTGGCAAACCTTTGAACCTATTCCACTTTAGTCTTATGCTTGACTAGATATGGACTCCATGCTGGAGCCGCATACTCCAGGATTGGTCTGACATATGTGGTATATAATGTTCTGAAAGATTCCTTACACAAGTTTCTAAAGGCCGTTCCTATGTTAGCCAACCTGGCATATGCTGCTGATGTTATCCTCTTGATATGAGCTTCAGGGGACAGGTATGGCGTGATATCAACCCCCAGGTCTTTCTCTCTCTCTGACTCTTGAAGTTTTTCATCTCCTAAGTGATACCTTGTATCTGGTCTCCTGCTTCCTACCCCTATCTTCATTACATTACATTTGCTTGGGTTAAACTCTAACATCCATTTGTTCGACCATTCCTGCAGCTTGTCCAGGTCTTCTTGAAGCCTCAAGCTGTCCTCCTCTGTCTTAATCCTTCTCATAATTTTGGCGTCGTCAGCAAACATTGAGAGGAATGAGTCTATACCCTCTGGGAGATTATTTCCGTATATCAGAAACAGGATAGGTCCAAGCACAGAGCCCTGTGGGACTCCACTGGTGACTTCACGCCATTCTGAGGTCTCACCCCTCACTATAACTCTCTGCTTCCTATTCCTTAGGTACTCCCTTATCCACTGGAGCGCCCTACCAGTTACTCCTGCCTGTTTCTCCAGCTTATGCATCAACCTTTTATGGGGTACTGTGTCAAAGGCTTTCCGACAGTACAAAAAAATGCAGTCCGCCCATCCTTCTCTTTCTTGCTTAATCTTTGTCACCTGATCATAGAATTCTATCAAGCCTGTAAGGCAAGATTTACCCTCCCTGAACCCATGTTGATGGGTTGTCACGAAGTCTCTTCTCTCCAGATGTGTTACTAGGTTTTTTCTCACAATCTTCTCCATCACCTTGCATGGTATACAAATTAAGGACACTGGCCTGTAGTTCAGTGCCTCTTGTCTGTCACCCTTTTTAAATATTGGTACTACATTAGCAGTCTTCCATACTTCTGGTAGGTCTCCCGTTTCCAGTGACCTACTATACACTATGGAGAGTGGCAAGCAAAGTGCTCCTGCACACTCTTTCAATACCCATGGTGAGATTCCATCCGGCCCAACAGCTTTTCTCACATCCAGCTCCAATAGGTGCTTCTTGACCTCATCTCTTGTAATTTCGAACCTTTCCAAGGTCACCTGGTTTGCTGCCACCTCTCCTAGCGCCGTGACTTCTCCCTGTTCTATTGTAAAGACCTCCTGGAACCTTTTGTTGAGTTCTTCACACACCTCTTTGTCATTCTCTGTGTACCTGTCCTCGCCCACCCTAAGATTCATCACCTGTTTCTTCACTGCTGTCGTCCTCCTGATGTGACTGTGTAGTAGCTTGGGTTCGGTCTTGGCTTTATTAGCTATATCATTTTCATACCTTTTCTCAGCTGCTCTTCTCACACTAACATACTCGTTCCTGGCTCTCTGGTATCTCTCTCTACTTTCTGGTGTTCTGTTATTACGGAAGTTCCTCCATGCCCTTTTGTTCAGCTCCTTTGCTTTCATACATTCCCTATTAAACCACGGATTCTTCCTTTGCTTCTCTGTTTTTTCCTGTTGGGCTGGGACAAACCTGCTTACAGCCTCCTGACATTTTTGGGTGACATAGTCCATCATGTCTTATACGGACTTGGTTCCGAGTTCTGTGTCCCAATGTATATCCCATAGGAATTTATTCATCTCCTCATAGTTTCCCTTTCGGTACGCCAGCCCTTTGTTTCCCAGTTCTTTTTGGGGGTGATAATTCCTAGCTCAACCAGGTACTCAAAGCTCAATACACTATGATCACTCATTTCCAAGGGGGCTTCCAATTTAACTCCCCTTATATCCGACTCATTTAGGGTAAATATCAGATCAAGCAAGGCTGGTTCATCCCCTCCTCTCGTTCTTGTCGGTCCCTTGACGTGTTGACTTAGAAAGTTT